ATATTAGTATATATATATAGTTGTGTGTGTGTATATATATATATATATGTGTGTGTGTGTGTGTGTGTGTTTGTTTGTGCGTGTATATATATATATATATATAATACTCGAGCGTAGTATTGTTACTTTTGCATTACATAGCAAGCTACTATGTAGTTGACAGAAGAGAACAGGCTATGTATTTGTGTATTTGTATACCTGACAATCGCATGTTCGATGCGATATCTTGTATCAAGGTCTGACGTGAATGCTTTATGTAACACGCAAATGAATAGACATTCATATACTGGCAAGAGAATACACAGACAACTAAACATCCACGCAGTAAACACGTCTGCTCTCTCATACAACCGAATATTTACATTAAACACGCCCGCCTGGATAAAGTCTCGAAAAATGACGGAAGATACAACTTCTCCCGGGCGACTCGATCCAGGCTTCCAGAGTTCCAGGCTCCATAGGCAGTGCGACTTTGTCTATACGACACCCGTCACTATATCATTATTAACGCCCGAGCCCGTGTCCAAAACCGCATCCGGACCATTCGCAGGTAGGGTCGATATTTATGGGCCCACGACCCCACGTAAGGCGACTTTGGCCCAAGTACCGAACTATTGAACATGTACACTTCGCAAAAAAAATTATCAAAAAAAAATCTTTACCGATATAAAGGTCAAGTATCAGTTTCCGGAACATACTCTACACATTGATCTGAAATAGAATACAACGCTCCGACTAGATTGAGCCAATGTTCTGTTAAACCTGTGAGCGTGGATTCGTGGATCCATACTTCTGAATACTATAAAAAAAGTATCGTTTCATTAGCCTTCTTCTAAATTATTAATACAAGAAGAGAAGGCTATGTATGATCGTCCACTGTATCAACAATGTTGACTTTTGTTTTGTCCCGTTCTGTTTGTAATATAGAAATAAATACTATGGCCCGTTAATCATTTTATAGCACGATGAATTGTTTTACAACAAAAAAAACTGTATTTACGTCACTTGCGGATAAATAGAAAATTGATGACGACATCAGCGGCCGATAAAATGAAACGTACATATTCGTTTTGTTTTGTTTCGTTGTGTGGACTGTGGGTTATATTTACCAGTGACAGAGTGCAGTACGTGTATAGTTGACCTATACGGCGGCAGTTGCAAGTGTATGTTCACCTCGTCGTTGAAACCACAACAGTGAGTATCTCTCGCAATTAATACTCGATTAACTTCTTTTATCGCCGAACATTAGAAGTTCGTAGCACTATATTAGGCGACTATCCAGGTGAGTGAACGCATTTTCCCACTATGTTTACCAAGTTGGTGAAAACTATCCACAAGGTGCTTCTCGATGACGGCTTCCATCTAGTTGGAACATCGGCGGACAGCAAAGCCACCGATGACATTCTCACCTCACTGCCGGTATGAATTTTTTTACACACGTGAACGTTTATATATACGTGCGTGTCTTGCCAGAAATGTACGTTCAATAGAGCGCATCACTGCTATCAGATCTGTTTATACAGGAGTATGAAGTCCCAAAGATTTGGTGCCTGCGTGTATTTGTATATGCACCAGTTGTGTAGGTAGAGTATATAGAGCTCGGCTGACTTCATATTCTAATCTGCTGACTATTATTTTTCTTCTTGGCATGCAAGACATCAGGCTCGATCCCTTCGAATTCTATCCTTCTATCTTAGCTTAATTATGTACTATATACTAATACCCTGACATGCTCCCACAATTGTTTGGTCACCGAGACAATGTTTTAAGTCGCTGCCTGTACTGTACTGCTTATCAGCCAATTATATCCACTAGCTTTAAATATCACACTCATGCTGTACCGGTCTTGTCTATCATTCAATTCGAGCCTTACTTTTTTTATTTCCAATATAGCCATCTACTTGCGTGTGTGAGAAGTGAGTCACTGATATATTTACACTAGCACATACACTCCACAATTCATTATTAATTCTCATACATCTGCCGCGCAGAGTGATTGGGATTCAAGCGATGATGTGTGGGTTCTTGCGTACAGGGCACCGAACGAACAGAAGAAGAGTCTTGCTGTGTTGAAAGCCCTGAAGGTAAGTTCATTCAGTTGCAAATACGGGTGTCATTTGTGCATCTGTCTCATCCAGAAGTTTTCTTATGTGTGTAGCGTATCTAGCGTTTGTTTCGCATTTAGTTTTTAAAGACAATCGGCACACTGCCCAATCATGCATTTGTTGATATGTGTATGATGTAAAATGTTATTTTGTACTAGTGTACAATCTATCTTTTGAAGTTGTAAAAGTGGAAAGCTGCGCGTATGTCCTGCTGTCGAATTCATTGGCTTCTTCTGCCTTAGGTATCAACATCCACGGTGCCTACGTCAGATTGTCAAATTCTATAGTAAAATATAGATGCTCTTAGTGGCAGGTATTACGTGCGAAGTTAATGTACATTCAATTAGTAAGGAGATGCATACTCTAATATTTGCACGAGAGTTTGATATAGACATATATTTATATATATATATATATATATATATATATATGTGTGTGTGTATGTATGTATGTATATAGTATAATATATATATATATTAAATAATATATATATATATTATATGTATATGTATATGTATATGTGTATATATATATATATATATATATATATAAGTATGTTTGCGTACATATATACTAATATACATATGTATAGTATATATTAGTTATACTTTATGTATTTGTGTGTGTATGTCAGTGTGTGGGTGTCAGTGTGTCAGTGCGTGGGGGTCAGTGTGTCAGTGTGTGGGTGGGTCAGTGCATGTGGACGTATGTGTGTCAGGGAGAAAGGAAGAGAAAGAGAGAGAGTGTGTGTGTGTGTTTGTGTATGTTTGCGTATGCGTGATCAGATCTACATCCGTGTCTTTATAGATCTATTTGTATATCTGTTCATACCTGCGCGTTGTTAACGGCTTATATGTCGTTCGGGCCTGTAAGCATAAATACATCTGTGACTCGTTCTCCTCAAGAATGTATGCGCCGAGTCTGGGTACGCGTGTATTGTTATACAACCTTTCACACAATCAATTACCTGGGCTCTGTATTCGACACAGGCGTTAACAGGAGAACTTCTGTGTAGTTTTCTGGGGGCATGAGATAGATGAATTAGTTTTCTGAAGGTGTGCATAGGACCTATGGCATGTGGTTGCTGATGGATAATGGATTGGTGTTGTATTGTTGGCACTGTGTTTTTTGAGAATGTCCAGACGTGTATATTGACGTTCATATACAATCGGGAGCTTGACCGCTGAATGCTTCCGGAAGCATGTGAACCATAGTCGTTTACAGATACAATCTGGTAGATGGTACACCCTGGTGCGAAAGTGTACGCCTGGGGTATGCTGCTGATCCTTTTTGGTTTGATACGCAGGTGGGAGAGACGTTGGAGGTGCATATGAGCACTGGGGATACGGATGAGAACGGTCTGAGCTGCGAATTGGTATTGAAAGAGTTCGTCGATGAGGATGGGGAGGTGAGTAGCCCGATTTATCATCACTAATTGGCGGTGTGTGTGAAAGCATGTATTGGCATTGGTAGTGGGACTCTTACATCGCATTGTGTACTCAACCCCGGCAGTGCTTGCACATTCAGCGTATTAGGACCCATTCGGAAGCATCTGAGCTGTATCTGTATGTGGTATGTATGTGTATTGCGGGTACGATTCGTGACAAGAGGTGGCCACCCGAACACGTGCGCAGGGGTCCTATCCGCAGTCCATTGAGTTGAACACTACTCCAAGTTTTTCTTCGTACTGTACGAGAATACAGTCAAGTGTAGTAGATGTGAGTTTCATACTCGCATGCCTCTAAGACGTTGTATGCACCAGCGCGTATTCTACCTGTCATGGTCTGACGAATCACAGCCGGGCGTCTTTGCATGGCCTCCCGGAATTGTCTCTCTCAGAGGTTTTGTCCTGGGGAGAATCCATTTTGTATGCGACAATTTCTAGAGGTCCATGGTATTTGCGATACATATTGGATATGATCACTTTTGATTCTCTCCTGTATTGATTTTCAGACACCTACGCTGAGTATTCAGTGTTTTGGGGCATACGGTTATGTGTGAACAATATGTGCCTATTGCCGCACACCATTTGTTCGTCTTCTGGGGGAAAGTGGTAGGTATATATCTAGCTCTGTCAAATGCACGGCCATTGCATTTCATATGAAGCGATGGCTATGATGGGTTCATGCTTTCATCTCCGATATGACTCGTTGCAAACTGGTATTTGAAAGTTTCTCACTTATGCATTCAATATAGCTGGACGTAATTGCTGTTCGAAGGAGGGTTGTGGACAAACTAACAAATCCGTTCAAGGAGGGGAATACATCAAGCAAAACGTATGTATTTCTATTCTATGGATACATGTGGCTATTTGTTTCAACATGTTGTTTGTCGGTCGATCAGTATGGGTGAGGTTACTTTGAACTTTACCATGATCCGTTGTAATATAGTGCGAATACTCGAGTATATTCGCAGGATGATTCGGTGGTCATGTATTAGAATGACTCGTCACCGTTTTCTGGCTCATGCTGACTGTGTATTGGCTAGGTACATTGGAAAACACGACCTCAACTTTGCTAACACACATAAGAATGCTCAGGTGTGTGCGTGTGAGCTCATGAACACACTCATACAACACTTGCAGTGGTGGCCAGAAATACAAAGACCCGCGCGCACAGACTCGTTCACTCTCGGTCTCTTACATGTGGAAGCCACCGTAACTCGAACCACAAACACACATTTCATCACGCATGTACACAGACAATCAGATACTAAGAAGGATAACAAAAATAGCAGACCGTCGGAAAGAAAACCTCCTGTGGACCTGCGCGACTATTCGCGCGGTGGTCAGCGCATGGGTGGGCATCCCGCTGGGTTTGGCTACGGTTCAAATGACTTGAACCCACAGTTCGGTGCCTTTGGGGGGCCTGCGGGTATGGGTGGCCTGGGAGGCATGGGTGGTATGGGTGGTATGAGGTATGTAGGGTTTGTAGAATATTTTACATTGTCGATCTCTAGCAGATGAATGTGTGCATATGTCTGTATGTCTTGGAAATCACTGTTTGGCGAGTGGCGGCTTTGGTGGATCTCCGGTTGGGGGCGGTTTGAGTGGATTAGGAGACATGGGTGGTAATGTGGTATGTACGGTGCGTAAAATTGTAAATTATCGACCTATGCCATATGGACACGTGTATTTATATGTATGTACGGCACAGATGACTTGATAATCACAGTTCGATGTCTTTGGTTATGGAACTCCTGGGTAAGTATGGCTGCTATAGAGGGTTTTGGTGGTATGAGGCATGTTAGGTCCGTAGTATGTTATACTATCGACATATGGTACTTAAATGTATTCACCTATATGTATGTACGACTCAAAGGCTTGATTATCACACGGTAGTTCTTTAATGTGCGTATCGTCTTTCATTCTACTACTATCTCTCGCGTTCGCGTCCATCACTCCTACGCAGTTTCTGTGCTGTCCCCTTATCTCTCTCTGAGTCTGTCCGGTCATGTCTCTCAATCCCAACCCCTTTGGCCCAATCCGCAGTGGTGTGGGTGGCGGTGGGATGATGTTTGACCCACGTGGTCTGGAGGGAATGCGAGGTGGGCCCCCTTCCAGAGGTCCTATGCCGTAAGTGTGATCTGAATAGTACATTGCGTAGGCCCAAGTGTCTCGTGTCTAGTGCGTCCGTGGTTACTAAGCACTCGAGTATTTCGGTGGACGTTATTGGACTTAATAGAGTTAATTGTTGTCAAGACTTGTAGAATGGCACCCAGACGTATGGATTACTTAAGGTTGTACGGTGCGTATAAGCTATAATTTGCAAGAGTTCTATCGATACTCCAGTATACGAAAGGGTCAAGTCTTTTTCTAAAAACCGTCTCATGTCGCACATCCTACCAATCGCTCGAGTGTTTGCACATTGCTAATGCCACTCCGTCCCGTATTTTCTCAGAGGTACTATACCACCGGGAGCACGCTACGACCCCATTGGCCCAGGCGATACATATCGCCCGAGAGGGAACAATCCAGACTGGGACGTGGCCTCGGCAGAGTAAGTACCGAAATGTCTTATTCTCGATTGCTCCATATGTGGCACTCTTCATTCGCGTGATGACGCAGGCGTGTTGCGAATAGTGTATTGACTGGCCATGCAAATGCGATTGGCTACCCCGTTGCAAACCTAATCCTGATTTCAAATTCTTGTGTGCGTGAGTGACATTTGTGGAGCGTGTGTGTTTTGCCTTTTCCGAGTTGTGCCCTCATGTGTGCAAATACGCAGTCCTCGAAGATATGCATGTGTACGCGATGATCATTCTTCCTCATGCTCAGTGCTTGTATGAGAAAGGACCACTACCTGTACTTGTTTGCCTGTACCTTTCATGCTTCATATGCTTCTATTTATAGACCGCCTTGGATGGCGGTCCGACCCACAATGCGGCTTCATTCCCTGTGTCTTGTCCCCATATCAATTTCAGTCCACCACTCAGTTGAGTTTCTGTTTGCGATTCGTCCTGGTGGTGCATTGCATCATCACGTGACAGACATTCTCGAGCGCGCAGTTTTTGTTCGCATATGTCTAGGGGCAATCGTGCGTGCATCGGTTTGTTTTATCGAGTTTCTATAGCTGTAGCCTGTACATCGGCAATAGTTATGTAGTTTTCGCATCTTGCTTGTGCGTAGAGGTGAGTCTGGTTTTCTCACTGGGAAGACTGGTTGTTCTGTTGTGTGGCTTGTCCTATTGCTCTACCGGTAAGTTCTTCTGGTCCGAATATTTTTGTGCGAATCGGCTGCCTCGTGACACGGCGGGCATGTTTTCGTGCGCAGCTTTGAGTACAAATAGTTATATGTATTCCGACTCGTCGATATTGTAGGGAATATTACTATTATATCGAAGGTAATACCATCTCCAACAGGTAACTTCATCTCGCTCTCTCTCTCTCGCTCTCTCTCCCTCGCTCTCGCTCCTTACCTGACCTTCTAACTGATCCCTATTGTCTGTTCATGTACGGTTGTTTGTGCAGGCCTGATCCAGACGAGTTACCGCCACCAGGCTACAATAATATGTTTATGTAGATGATGGTAACGCTCCGCTTTTGGCTTGGAACTTCGTGAGCTTCATAATTATAGTTGTGAGTATACATCCATGAACAAGCGCGCAAGTATGAGTCGGTGTTCTCCAATACTTTTCTGGTCTTCTGGTCGAGTACTCAGAAATGTAGCTATTGCCGGAGAAGAGATACTAGGAATTTTTGTACCATGAATTTACGAAATTAACGGGGGGTGACCCCTCAGGTATATCATAACTATCTACGCAACGGAAATATAAAATAGTCAAATTCAGTACAAATTAAAGTCACAACGTCCCTACAGGGATTCATAAATATCACCTATGCCACTACTTTCAAGCTGAGAATCCCAATACAATCCTGGGCGTGAGCAGTACGGTAAGGGGTAAACGCCTTTGGAGTCGCGAATACACGTCTATTGTTATTGTGTTTAATTATTCTGGCGTATATATATCTATATATATATATATATAGTATATATATATATACTCTTATATACTATATATATATATATACTATATATACTTATACTATATATA